TGAAAAATTATCTTAGTATACAAGCATAAATTGAGCTATTAACCCGATAAAAAAATCAAAAAGTGTAAAAAATAACCTAGTAAGGTGAGAATTTTATATTGGAGTTCAGCCTGGATATATTTTATTTCATAGGTGATTTGTTTTAAGAAATATATGATGGTTAAATGCAGATAAGATAAGAGATCATAGCAGTGGAGATGTGGCTGTGGATCAATATCATCGCTACAAGGTAATTAATGATGATGAGAGAAAGGAAATTAAACAAAGATTATTACACAAGGTTTTCTAGTATGAATTAAAAGGAGTCTCAGGTAAAAATAAAAAATAAAAAAATCAATACTATAATAAATATAGTTAGGCAAAAATAAATATTTTTTTTAGTGATGAGATGGGATTATTCATATTTATTTTTCAAGATTAAATCTCACAGGAAGATGTTAAGATCATGAAAGACATGGGCTTAGATTCCTACAGATTTTCAATCTCATGGCCTAGAATATTGCCAAGTAAGATGATTCAATTAATTAATTAATTCTGTTATTACCATCTTTTCTGTGCCTTCATCTGGTAATTGTTCTTGATTTTCACAGTCAAATTGCTATGTTTTAACATGTAACCTTTTGTGTTAAACCCTAAATATTTTCAGAAGGAAAGCCAAGTGGGGGAGTGAATAAGGAAGGATTCAAATACTACAACAACCTCATCAACGAGCTCCTTGCAAATGGTATAATTTACTCTTATAATAATTCCATCATTTAAGTTGACATTAGACCATATGAACAAGCATAGTATTTTCACTTTTTTCAGGCTTGAAACCCTTTGTAACTCTCTTCCATTGGGATACTCCTGAAGCCTTAGATGTTGAGTATAATAGTTTTCTGAGTCCTCGGATTCTGTAAGTAAATTGATTAAATTTCTCTCTTTCTTTTAAAAAAGTTGTTTTTTTTTTTTGGTTCAATTTGATTTTCTCTATATAATATTGTGATTAACCTAAATTTATTATTGATTATTTTACAGGAAAGACTTTGTGGACTTTGTAGATGTTTGTTTCAGGGAATTTGGAGATAGAGTTAAGCATTGGATCACATTAAATGAACCAAATATCTTTACTATAGGTGGCTATGCCAAAGAAATTAATGCACCAAATAGATGTTCAGCTTGGATGAATTTCAGTTGTACTGCTGGAGATTCATCAACAGAACCCTATTTGGTAGGACACAATTTGATTAAATCTCATGCTGCTGCTGTAAAATTATACAAGACAAAATATCAGGTATAACGCTCACAACCCTATACTACTTTACATGATTATCTTCTCAGACAAGAGCAGTTTTCATAAAAACAATAATTTTATAAATTAATTATAGTACAGAACTGGTTTTCAAGCATGGTAAGTTACCAAATGCTTCGTGCTTGCAGGCAACTCAAAAGGGCGTTATAGGGATCACATTAGCATCACACTGGTTTGTGCCATATTCTAAATCCCCACAGGACCATGCTGCTGCACAACGATCACTAGATTTCTTGTATGGATGGTATGTGTTGAAATTTAATTTTTCTACTGATTTAAATTTAATGATAAAAAATATACAAAATCATATCTAAATCCGATTGATTGATGAGAGAAATGACAACTTTTTCTTGGTATTTTTGCAGGATTATGGATCCAATAGTTTTCGGCCGCTATCCACCATCGATGAGAGTTATAGTCAGAAACCGATTACCCAGATTCACCAAGAAGGAATCTGAAACAATAAAGGGGTCATTTGATTTTATCGGATTGAGTTACTATACTGCTTTCTATTCAGCCAATTTGCCTGCATCTAATAATACATATTCAAGCTACTTGACGGATAGTCATGCCAGTATTAGCAGTAAGCACAAATTAATAAAAATTCAAAGATAATTGAGGATTAATGTTTTTAATTTTGATAGATTACTCAACGTTAACAATTTTTATTTATTTATTTTTTTTTCATATAGGTGATCGTAATGGAGTCCTCATAGGTCCACCGGTGTGTATTGTAACATTAAAATCTTCATTTTTCTTTACTTCTTCCATTTAACAAACCATAGCTTGAAAGAAGAGAAGGGAAAAAAAATTAGAACTTATTCACTAAATTCACACCTTATTAATTTCATCTTTTTTTTTTTTTTTTTTAACAAAATAATGCAGACAGGATCGCCTTGGCTCCATGTTTATCCGAGAGGAATTCAAGACCTTTTGCTCTACACGATAAGGAAATACAAAGATCCTGTTATTTATATCACCGAGAATGGTAATTAAGGGAGTACAACTTTAATTATCATAATTAACTACGTGATGTAACATTCCAAATTTTCTAAAACATAAAATATCTCCCTTGTTTTAGGCGTAAGTGATTTAAACGATCAGAATTTAATGCTTAAGGAAGTCCTAAACGACACCATGAGGATCGATTACTACAATCGCCATCTCTATTTCCTGAAGTTGGCAATTGGGTAAGTTCTTAATTAATATTTTGGGTTAATAGTTCAATCTATTTTTATATATATTAGGATAATTTTTAATTTATCTTTAGGTCTCTAATTGAGCTAATTTTATCTTTAAATATGTATTGAGCGTCTAATCTATCATTCTTATATGATTCTCATGTTAAACTATTAAAATTAGTTACATAAATTGTATATAAAAATCTTCTATATAACTGATTTGTATAGAATAATTTCAATAGTTTGACCTAAAAATCTTAACAAAATAATATATTAAAAACTTAACTTATATTTAAAAATAAAATTAATTCAATTAAGGATATAATAATAAATTTAAAACTTACTTTATTATATAAAAAGAAATTTAACTATTAACTTGTATACCTCTAATTAAAATTAAGATATATATCAATTCAGTGATCTTATGTTTTTTGTTTGTTTTTTTTTTCCCCCTTTGATAGCAATGGTGTCAAGGTGAAAGGATATTTTGCATGGTCTTTAATGGATAACTTCGAATGGAAATCGGGTTACACAGAAAGATTTGGAATCGTCTATATTGATTACAAAAATCGATTGAAGAGGTACCCAAAGCTCTCAGCTAGCTGGTTTAAGAACTTCCTCAGGAAATGGAAGGCATGATCCAATGATCTTTACAAGAATGAGCAAATAAAATCTTATCTAAGAGAATAAAACAGAAGTCTTGTCTTCTGATTTTCCTTTACTTGTGTTTTTTTTTTTTTTCCTCCTTCTCTGCCAAGAATGAGATTTGTAGGGCAGAAGTCTCTAGCTTCTTATAGTCTTTACTACATCCCCACTTGTACTTCAAGGTTTATGCTCTTTGAAATTGTGGGCTTGGGCCACTTATGTTCATGAAATCTCATTTTATACTGTAAGAACAAGGAATCGAATAAGAGTAAAATGGAGAAACCAGCCTATATTTTGGTGGGGATCTCACTTTTCTATCTGTCCTTCGAAATATTTCAGTTTCCATTCCCACGTTAGCTATAATAATTGGTAAAGGCTAAATCATACATACCTTTTCTAAACTATAGGTCAAAATGCCATTAATTAATGAATAAAAAATTCAATATTATTAGTTTTGAAAAAACTATTTGATTTGATTTTTCTTTTTTAATTTTTACAGATAATAGAGTATTTTTGCATCAATCGAGACTAAATTTATCACTTATTCTACCAAACCAACATCAAAACACGTTTAGTTTTTTTTTTTTTTTAGTCTATAGTTAAACTTAACTAGGATACTACCCAATAGGGTTGAAATGAGTGGAAATGGGTCTAGTACTTAAATAAGTAGTTTTGAATTCAAGTCTTTATGTACATCAAAAATTCTTTAAGTAGTGGTTATTTTGTGCGTCCGACAAAATAGCGATGAATCAATTTAGGTTTTTAAGCTTAGGATATGTGAGAATTAAAAAAAAAAAAAAGAATTAAATAGGATGCTACCCAAATTTTTGGCCAAGAGTGTATGAAAACCAATTTGGAGACTTACAATACTTTTTATAACCGACTAAATTTTGGTTTTATGGTCGAAAGTATTCTTAAATCAGCTTGCTTCAAAATTAAATTAACTTTTTTATTATTAATGAACATAGTTTGCATAGAATAAATAAAAAAGCAAATATATGTGTGTGTGGACATCGGTTATACTTTTGCCTATCGGAAAAAATTAATATCCTGCATCCATACGTTGAATTGTACCTATAACACATAGTCGTGGCCATTTAGAAAAGGAAAATCGATGCTGACAATTAATTTAAAAGGAAAAAAAAAATTCTCAGTTTCTAACCTTAGATCTTACTCCTTATGGAGTGCGTTGCTCCAAATTTTTTAACTTCATCGTCTAAGGTTTGAAGCCTAATGCTGAAAATGGGATATGATAAAACAATTTCAGTCTCCCCATCATTTCGAGCATCACCTACTACAACTCCTGATTCATTAGCACAAATATCTTCATTTCTTTTAGGATTTTGCCATCCAAAATCAAAACCATATATGTTAAACTTGGTTGATAAAAAGCTTTCAAAAACTGTTTAAGAAAATTGGTTAATTTGAATGAAAAATACTCTAGTTGTTTAACTAAACGGTTTAGGTTTTGAATTTTTATGTGTAAAATTTTTTTTGGATAGTTGTATTTTGTCTTATGTGTCCGAATGAATAAGGAAAAATTATTTTAGATTTTTGAGTCTCAAGTATCAAAAAAAAAAAAAAAAAAACTTTCAAAAACCCAACCTTTATACGCTGCTTCCAACTCCGGCAGCCAACTCAGCTCCTTTCAGTACTCCAAATGCATCATGCAGCCTTTAACGAACTGAATCTCCAATTATTTTTGCTCCAACGAGAAAACCATCCCTTCCCTTCAATTGGGCCATCTTAACACTAGCTAGGGCAGGCGCCAGGCAATTACCCAAATAAGTTGTAGGCAAAGGCGGGTCCAATCGAGTTCTACAATCTACTTCAGTAAGGAAATGTACCGTTCCTTCTTCATATTCAGCTGCCTTATCTTCTGCTCATGCTGCTCTTGCCTTTGCCATGCAAGACCATAAGTAAGCACATGTAACAGTGACGGTCAATACATGTGATAGAGAGGCATATCGAGCTAGCACTAATTTCTTGAGCTGCTGAACGGTGGCCAGACTAATAAAAAATGTGGTTCGAACCCTGTTGGTTGGCAGCACAGGTTGTGATCCATCATACTTTGTTTTCTTGAGATAGTTCCACGTAACGGTCTCGACTTCAAGCCCTCTAGGGTCCTTGAGTCGAGTCCTTTCGTAATATGGCTCGGATTCACCTCTTAAACTTATCCTCCTCTCCTTTTGTGATTGAAGCCCACGTTCTCATGAAACTGGCGACGGAATTGCCGTCAGCTACCGCATGGTGGATATTGAATCCCACACAAATGCCTGAATTTGAAAAGTGTGTTACTTGAAAGGCCGAAATTGGAACTACTAGTGTGTCATGTGACATGAATCCTGGTGGAGGTCGAGGGAAAAAGGAGTGAAATTCTGTCACATTTCGTTTTTTTTTTCTCGTGAGATGATTAAAATCACTGCTATAGACTCTGCAAATAATGAATTTGAGGCTTTCCAAAATTTGGAGGTGAGGGATAATGATTGTTTAATGCTTGGAATGATGGACTCCATAAAATGCATTGTTCTTGGAAGCATTTGTGTATTCATAGAAGAAGTGATTTTGCATTGAAGGCAAGTGAACCAAACGAAGATCAGGAAAGGTGAAAAGGAGTGTTTTTTCAGAGGTAGTAGCTGGTGGTGGAGAAACTTGGCAATGTTCAAGGACAGTGACCATGCTGTGTGAATCCATGTTAGGATCTGCAACGAGAGTTTGCTTTGGTAAGAATATGTAACTAGGAGTTTTAGGGATGTGTTTCTTGGCTCTTCTTGCAAGTCTATATATAGAAGTTAGCATATGTGGAATGTGATTTTAATTATTTTTATCTTTATTTATTTGTTTTGATAAAAATTATTGGGACATTATCGAATTATATATATATATATATATATATGTATGTATGTATTTAAAAAAAAAGGTTTGAAGTTGAGAATTTTTAATTAGAAACAAAGAAATATTAACATTGGTTGAGTTACAATTTACAAGGACAATTTCTATGCTTACTTGAAGACATTGTAATTGTATTTCCAACCTCAAATCTTACTCCTCATACAGTGGTTTGCTCCAATTTTTTCAGCTTCATCATCTAAAGTTTGAAGCCCAGTGCTGAAAATGGATGCAAAAGCATCCATTATAGGCTTGGCATTTGATACGATGATTTCAGTCTCGCCTTCATTTTGGCCATCACCTACTGCAATTGCTTCGAAGTCATCAATGGAAATTTCTTCATTCATTTTAAGTTTTCCCCACCCAAAATCAATACTATACGTCTTAAACTTGGGTGATGAATTACATTCCAAACACCAACCTTTGGATGCAGCTTCCCACTCTGACACCCAATTCTTAACACCTTTCAATACTCCTACTGCCTGGTGCAGGTTTTTATGAATAGCATCTCCTATGCTTTTAGCTCCAAACAGAAAACCATCGCTTCTCTTCAACTCTGCCATCTTAGCACAAGCTATGGAAAGAGCCACACAGTTACCAAAATAAGTTGCAGGCAAAGGCGGGCCCAATCGAGTTCTACAATCTATTTCATAAAGGAAATGTACCATTTCATCATCATGTTCACCACATGCTACTTTAGCCTTTGCCAAGCAAGACCATACATATCCACATGTGACTGTGAAAGTTGATATATGTGATAGAGAGGGGTATCGGGCTAGCAATTGTTTCTTGAGCTGTTGAGCAGTGGCTTGACTAAACACAAACGTGGCTCGAACCTTATTGGCAGGCAGTAGTTGTTCAGGTTCTGATCTTTTACGCTCTGTTTTGACATATCGCACAAATGTTCTCCAATTCAAGTCCTTCAGGGTCCCTGAGCAGAGTCCTATTGTAATATGGCACGAATTCACCACCCAAACATGCTGCATCTCCTCCTCCTTCTGTGATCGAAGCCCACGTTTTTAAGAATGATCCGATGACGGAATTTCCATCAGCAACCGCATGGCGAAGGTGGAATCCCACACAAATGCCTGAATTTGGAAAGAGTGTCACTTGAAAAGCCGAAATTGGAACTACTAGCGTGCCATTTGACATGGACTTTGGTGGAAGTTGAGGGAGAAGGGAGTAAAATTCTATCATATTTCGTGTTTTTTTCTCAGTGAAATGATTAAAATCGCTGCCCGACTCGGCGAAGATTAATAAAGCTGAATCACCTTCTAAATAAAGAATTTCAGGCTTAGCAGAGTCTGGAGGAAATATTAAGTTTCCAGCAAAAGGGTAGAAGTATTGGAGGGTGAGGGAAAGTGAATGTGTAAGGCTTGGAATGATGGAATCAATAAAATGGTTCTTGGAAATATTGGTGAATTCATAGAAGAAGAGATGTTTGGCGAAGAAGTCAACCATACGAAGATCAAAAAAGGTGAGAGGAAGTGATTTCTCAGAGGTGGTACCAGGTGGTGGAGAAACTTGGCAACGTTCAAGCACAGTGATCATCTTGTATGAATATGTAAGGAGAGATTTTTATTTGAAAATGTTAGAAGAGTTTTAGCTAGCAAGGGATATGTGCCTTTTTTCTTCTTTTTTTTTCTTTCTTTTTTTTTTTTTTTCTGTAAAAGATTACTGAGACGTTGTAGAATAGTTTCCTTCCTTTGCATGAGTATTTGTATGCATGTGTCATCGTGTTCTTCTTTTCCAATTCCATTTGGCAAGTACTGTTGCTTCTTATGTCTGTTGGCCCTTCCAAATGTCAAGGTACGTGTACTCATTTGACCATCTCTATGCACTTGTCACATTTTAAACCTAGAACAGTAGAATATGTGTCACTTTTTAAGATGATCACATGACTTAATGTACAACACTCATTGGAGATACTTATTATACCAAAAAAACAATTCATGATAATTAAATAAAAAAATAAATTTTATCCTAAAGGTTGATTTGAGTACAACGAGTTTTAATCGTTTAACTCATATTCGAATTTTCGTGAATACGGAAAACTCTTTAGGTATTTATATTCGTTTTATATGTTTGATCGTAATATAAAAAATTAGTCTGAGTTTTTTCGGATTTAGGCACCTTGAGATCCCTAAAAAAGAAAAAAAAATTAAGGTTAATAGCCTAACTAAGATTGATAGAAAGTTTATGGTGCTTTAGCCATTATTAATACATGGTCATGATTATTTTCTTTGGGCCATGACTCAATGTGAGTAACCTTCCTTGTTACACAATAATTGAGGAAATGGGCTTGGGCCTCTTGACTCAAATTGGTCCATCCAAGTTTGGCAAACGTACATGATGTCTTCGGAAAGGAACAAAGAAATGGAAGCAATGATGCAATTGCTGGACCTAGCCAGGGTCCTGCATGGTTCAAATCTGTATACACTTAAAAATCTCCACAATTGGAAAAATCATCTAGCCTACTTCCTAGCTTCCATTCTGGCTTGAATTATAAACGCGCTGTTGAATCTGAGTTACTCAGAAGTCCCCAAAAAGAGCTAGCCACTTTTTGATGAACTGGAGAGCATCTTCAGAATCAAACAGGCAGAGGCTAAGATATTCCAAGCACATGCTGATGATGCAAGAAGCGAAGCTGAGGGCCTGAAACGAATATCATTTGCAAAGAGTAAAAAAATCGAGGAAGAGTACACAAGTAGGATCTCAAAACTGGGTATAGCCGAAGCCAAGACGTCAAATAACTATTTCAACCCAAAAGCACGAAAAAAACGCAAGCAAAAATTTGAAAATTTTCAGGCCCCGGAAAGATGAAGTTGTACATAAACTGCAAAATCTCTATATCTTGTAAGCAACTTCCCGTTATGGAATTAAGCAATTTGAAAGAGAGATCATAGATCAAGTTCTCATTGAAAAAAGCAAAAAGAAAATCGAGGAAACTTAAATCATCGATGGAAATGGATCCTACATCATTAGAAAAAGCTATTGAATATGCAGCCATTAATTAAGTTGACTTCCTACATTAAATTTTGGTTTCGTTATGATATTGGTGTGTAACAATGGCATTGGAAATATGTATAGTCCCCATTTCCTTTGTCTTGTGAAAGGCTTGTCTTCAATGGAGGACTTTTCAATGAGTCTGTCAAGTACTTTTCCAATTAAGTAACTCAAATAGCATGATTTCACATGAAATTAGTTTCTCTCTGATTAAATCATACAGTTTACAAAAATTGAACCGTTAATTATTCTTTATAGAAAAACATACCTTCAATAAGTAAAAGCAAGAACCTTGGAGGATTTGTTTGAGTACAAAAAAGGTTCTAATCACTTAATCAAGTGATCTCGAGTTTAAATCCTTATGTACGAAAAAAAAATTCTTTAAGTAGCTATCTTCGTTTTGTACGTTTGACAAAATAACTAGACATTAATCTGATTTCTTAAGATCGATATATTAGAGAATTAAAAAAAAAAAGCACAAGTAAGAAAATTCATGTCGAGCTATTACTTAACTGTCTCCTCGTAATCTTTTTTGCCCTAACTCTCTCTTGTATCCAACAAAGGAAATTTTTTTCTCTCTCTAATTGATGAGTAACTCATATTGCAGCAAGTTCTATGGCTTGTTTGCTATGGTGGGGCCATGCTACTTGTCGTTGAAAAAAATAAAGGTTATTCTAGGCATTTTATCGCTTAAAAGAATGGTTTTAAACGTAATATACTAATTAAAACTTCTCCTTCTTGAAGGTGGACCCATTTGCATTACCTAATTCACCAATTATGACGGAAAGTAAAAAAACAAAAGAAAGTTTGGTTTGTTATAGCAAAAATAGAAATATAGGTGAATTGAAAGAAAATATGTCAAGAAAAAGAATTCACTATAAAGTGAATATAAGTGATAAGAACTTCAAATTGTTCTCTTAATCTCTCTAAAAACTTATACATCAACTAATGAACAATCAAGCCTATTTATAGGCTCCAAAATTGAGATGAGAATTATGAATAATTAAAAGTACATCAATTGCATCATCCTTTCAATTTCTCATATTGAATGACGAATTAAATCACATTAAGGATCATGAGTAGTGGGGATATGAAAAGTAGATGGACATTCATTATTTCACAACACTCCCATTTGAATGTCCATTGTACAAGAAACATGCCTCGTTAAAACCTTACTAGGAAAAACCCAATAGGAAAAAATCCTAGTGAAGAAAAAGAGTACATTATTCATTACACACATTAATCCCCATTTTGGTCTCCCTCTGTTGAAGACTTTATTTAAGATCTCTAAGACGACACATTCCAATCTTGTGAATTATCTTCTCAAAAGTTGTGGTAGGTAATGCCTTAGTGAACAAATCTACTAGATTGTCACTTGATCGAATTTATTGAACATTAATATCACCATTTCATTGAAGATCATGTGTGAAAAATAATTTTAGTGATATATGTTTTGTTATGTCACCTTTGATGTATCCTTCCTTTAATTGAGCTATGCAAACATTATTATCTTCATATAAGACTCGTTGGAACTTCCTTGCTAGTGGATAAATCACATGTCTCTCGAATATGATGGGCCATTGATCTTAACCAAATACATTCTCAACTTGCTTCATGAATTGCTAGTATTTACGTATGGTTTAAAGATGTGGCAACTATAGTTTGCTTCATAAAACGCCATGATATAGATGTATCTCTACATATAAATACATAACTAGTTTGAGATCGAGCTTTGTGTGGATCGGATAAATAACATGCATATGCATAACCAATTAATCTAGTTTTTGATTTGTTAGAGTAATATAAGCTCACATCAATTATTCCTCGGAGATAACGTAGTATATGTTTAATTTCATTCCAATGTCTCCGTGTTGGAGCGGAACTATATCTTACTAATAAATTTATAAAAAATGCTATATCGAGTCGAGTATTATTAGCAAGATACATTAATGCATCAATTGCACTAAGGTATGATACTTCGGGACCAAGAAGTTCTTTGTTATCTTCTCGAGGTAAAAAATGATCATTTTGAACATCAAGTGAATGAACTACCATTTGACTAGTCAATGGATGAGCCTTATCCATGTAGAATCTTTGTAGTACTTTTTCTATAATGTTAATCGATGAATAAAAATTTTATCTTTTAAGTGTTCAAACTGCAGGGCGAGGTAAAATTTTGTTTTTCCAAGATCTTTCATATCAAATTCTCTTTTTAAATAATTTATGACACTTAAAATCTCTTCGGGAGTTCTAATTATATTTAAATCATCAACATATATAGTAATTATTATAAACCCTTTTTCGAATTTCTTTATAAAGACATATAAACAAATTGGCTTATTTTTATAACCTTCTTTTAATAAATAATCACTACGGCGATTATACCACATGCATCCAGATTGTTTCAATCCATATAGAGATCTTTGTAATTTAATCGAATACATCTCTCGAGAATGTATTTTACATGCTTCGAGCATTTTAAGTCATTATGGGACTTTCATATAGATATTATTATCAAGTGACCCATATAAATAAGCTATGATTACATTCATTAAATGCATATAAAGTTTTTCACATACTCGTCAAAATAATAAGATAACAAAATGTAATTGAATCAATTACAATAGAATATGTCTCTTCATAGTCAATGCCGGGTCGTGGTAAAAACCCTTATGCTACAAGTCTTGCTTTGTATCTCACAATTTTATCCTTTTCATTTCGTTTTTGCACAAATACCCATTTGTATCCTACTTGGTTTAACATCTTTAGGTGTTTTAACTATGGTTCAAAAGTCGCTCGTTTTACGAGAGACTTTAATTCTTCTTGAATTGCATCTTTCCACCTAGGCCAATCATCTCTATATCGACATTCTTCAATAGATTTAGGCTCGGGATCCTTATTCAAAATATCAATTGTCACATTATATGCAAAGATGTTATCAATGAATGTTTCTTCTCGATCCCATTTTCTTCCTGTGTTA